AATTTCTCCCTAATTCGCGCTCAGATTGCGCACAAAAATGGACGATTTGAGAACAGGAGACACGATTATTCGAGCCTCACGGCTCATTTTTATAGTTGTTGACAACCGACAACTATAAAAAGAAGCTGCGAGACTCGAATAATCATATCAATCAGAGCATCAGTTAGGGAGACTTTACTGTACAATAATTTCTCCCTAATTCGCGCTCAATTCGCGCACAAAAATGGACGTTTTGAGAACAGGAAACACGATTATTCGAACCTCACGGCTCGTTTCTATAGTTGCCGATTGTCAACAATTATAAAAACGAGCTGAAGGAGAATTGCAGAGAATTTATCGTATTGCAAATTCTCCCGACGAACATAGATCTATCGATCCTTCCAGACGCGTCGCATAATAATCACTGCTGTCGAGCCTCGTCAATGTAGATCATTCACGGCCGACGATACCGGTGCAGAATTTAATCAGTGCTCGCTTATTTTCGGTGATCGATGAGCCAGAGTTTCGGGTTGGAGTGGAGTTGCATGATGCAGTTTCCGCGGGACAATCCGACACCAGTCAGACGGTAATAATAAATTGACGGCTGCGCGCGTCGGGTGTTCAGGCTGGGGACGACTGGTTCGGCGAAAGAAGAATTGGCGTGCAACGACAATGTCATCTGGGGATGCACACCTCTTCTGCCACGATCGTGTTCGCGGTGTCCATTAATTATCTCGTCCGAGATATTAATCGGCCAGACAGCGACGGGGAAAACAAGAAACGGCGTGGTTTCGCGGCCACCGATGACACGCGACGATAAAACCGCCGGCGAGGTGAATCCGTGTGCAATTTTCTTACAGATTGTTTTACACGGATCGTCAGGATCGGACAAACGGAGGAATTAATCGCGGAGCCATTTCAAAATTGCAACTTTGATCGCGAAACGATACTTCGAGTAATTTGTAAAAGGTTTTATCGATGGAAAGCTTGACATTTCCTTGCTCGGTTGTGCGACGGGCAGAAGATTTCAGCTTAAATCGAAGTCGTAATTGATAAACCGAGTGGGACATCGATCTCTTTGTGCACCTACAGTCCCTGGCAAAAAGTATTCCGTCATCTTTTAAAGTGCAATAACTTTTCTCAAACTGGCCTAATTGACTTGAATCTTTTTTTTCTCTAAGTGTTAAAGGGATTATTTTACGGTACAATGAGCAATATACTTCTTTAATTCTGTTATTGCATAAAATTATAACAGATGATAACAAACACTTGTTCTTCAACTTTTTTATTTGAACCTGGAACGAAAATTTTAAAAAATACGTTTCGTAGATCTAGGTAAATTATATGCACACTGAAAATTTCATCGAAATTGGTTTACGTTGTTACGAGCTGCAAGCAATTCAAGATCGTAAAAATCGCAGTTTTTTTACGAATTTCAACCAAAAATAGGTAAGTTTTGCATCTTTGAGTGGATGTAGCTTGATTATGCGTCAACCGATTTCAATGAAATTTTCGTTTGCACATAAATTACCGAAATATACGCATTATTTAAATTTTCGCTCCAGGTTCAAACAAAAAAGTTAAAAAACGAGTGTTTTTATCTTCTGTTGTCATTTCATGTAATAGAAGAATTTAAAATAAAGTATACTAGTCATTGTACCGTAAACTTAGTTTCTTTAACACTTAAAAAATGATACGAGTCAATTAGATCAGTTTGAAAAAAGGTGATTGCATTTTAAAAGGTAGACCAATACTTTTTGCCATGGATTATAGTACTTTGCTATTGTGTCGGTGATCTGTCTGGTATTATAAATAATGTTTATCACGCGATTTTCACATTGAAATTTATACCATAGTTTCATTATACATATGTACACCTGCATACGTCTTGCAGATACAATTTTGTTTGTTCATAATTTGTTTGACGTTTCATTAGCTTGATTAGCAGTTATGCTAACGACATCCCGTACAGGCAAGGCAATTATTGTTATTCGAAACTTCTAATTTACATTTCAAAGTGCGTTCATTGAAACTGTGATTTTGTTGGCACATTATCACTCACTGGAATCTCGCCGTTGATTCGTCAAGAATTTACGTTCATTTATCGGCCGTCCGACGCATTTCTCGGAGAATTGTATATTGCAATTTACTTATATTACATTTTATATCACAATTTATAGTCGTTTATAGTGTTTTATATTACAATTTATAAATATTATATTATATTACAATATTTATATAGTAATATATTATATTAATATATTATTATTAATGTAATATATTATTATTAATATAATATATTATATTATATATTATATTATACTATTAAAGCTGTAACTCTTAAAAGATGCTGAAATCGCGTTACGATGATACAATTCAGAAAATTGAACGACAATTTGCGAATGATTGTTAAGCGTTCGTTCGCCGGACAGGTTGCCGTGCAATGAAAAAATACAACAAAACCTGAAATTCTTGTTAATCTGTCTAATGCCATACCCGTTTCCTTTCATCCCTCGCTACGTATACTCTCTCGCGCATCTTTCGTCCCGAAGGCGCTAATGATCGACGCTTAACTCTCGGTCCGCGGGCTTCGCGCGAGTATAAAAATCGACGCAAAACATTTTTACTTCGCTCGAACATCCGCAGTCTAATTACAATATACGAGACGCTTAGAGGCGTAGTGCATCGAAAAGCTCGCAAATAGCAGCTTACCGGGATCGCGACGTAATGGATTGGCTGAAAGGGACCAATTAGTCATCGCGAACCGCGAAAATCGATTCCGGTTTTCTGCGGGCTCGCGCCGCGCCGACAGAACTCGATTCCGCATTCCACGGTCGAATTTGCAGGCGCCGCGAGAGAGAGAGAGAGAGAGAGAGAGAGATCGCGCGGACTTCCACGAAGCCGATTGTCATTAGGAAGTCGTTACTCTCGAGTCAAGGTAGCGGCCAGCGCGAACAAGAGGGAAATTGAAGGCGGCGCCGCGTGGCGTTTTCCCGTTGAAACGAGCCGAAAACGACGCCCGGAACGGCTCCGGCGAAGCGATCGCTCGCGTTCTTCTCGTTTCGAAAGGGATGACGGGGCATTAAAAGCGCCTCTCGGCCCGGAACACACCCATAAATGCAAGGCATTCTTGCGTCCGCGTTGCGAGGAGCCGCCGCCTGCTCGAGTGACATCTGCAATGCAAAGCGACTCGTGTGCAGCGTCGCGTCGCGTCGCGTCGCGCGTCTCTCCGACTGACTTCGCCGGGATTATATTGAGTCGTTTGACAGCCATAGACAGGGACGTGGAAAGGGTATAAGTGGATAAAGAAAAGTCCGAGCAGAGAGGAATGCGATTACAGGCAATCGCGCGTATCGACTAGACAGCGGATTTGTTAATTCCGTAAAGCACGCACGGTAATCGCTTCGATCAACGCGAATCGAACATCTAATGGATTTCGTAATTGTTCGAATCGGAAAGCGAGATTTTCAACGCGCGTGCAATATCGCTGAACAAAAAGTGCTTGCGATCTTTAGCGAATCTGTGACGCGAACTGAGATTATTGAACGATGTTCGTTATGAAATTCCCGAATGAACATGTGTGTCTATTAGCAGTACAGTAAATGTCTCCCTTACTGACGCTCAGGTTGCGTACAGAAATGGACAATTATTCGAACCTTTCGACTCGTTTTTACACTTGTCGACAATCGATAACCATAAAAAAACGAGCAACAAGGCTCGAACAATCGTATCTTCTCTTCCAAAGTTGTCCATTTTCGCGGACAATCTGAGCGTCAATTAGAGAGACATTACTGTATTTTGCTCTCGATAATTTTAGTTACTGAAATTCTTTCGATATCGATGCTAATGGATTCGAATATGGATTCGAGAGCTTTCGATAATCAAGAGCGAAATAACCTTGACATTTTCTAGTACTACGAGTCGTGCGAGAAATGTAATCGGACCGCAGATTTTATGCATTTATCGGAAAATGGATAGACGAAACGTGGAATAACGAAACGATTGAAAGAAACTAAGAATTTTGATAGTTTTTTTATAATTCCATGTCAGAGTTTATTCATTCTAAAGATCAGAATTTCTTTAAGACAGCAATCTATGCGTTAAAATCTCGTTTATGCAAATGGAGCATATTTTGATTAAATCAACAGCTTTTGAAAAAAGATACGCAGTTTTAATATATTCACTTAAAAATCCGACATTTCATACCGCGCGACCTAATATTAACTTCAATTTATTAAAATTATTTAAAACAGACGAACATTGCACTTGGAAAATTTGCGCATCTTGCAAACGGTGCAGACAATTTTTATTCTGCAGAAAGATCTGCAGTAACGATAGACGTTTATTTTAAACTGGCGCTAAGCTGAAGTTTCCATTGCAATCGTACCGACGAACAGCTCGGAGTCGTCCGAGGAGAGAACGAGGAGCCGCGATCGAATCGAAAGTGAGGACTGAGTCATTAATCGAGCTTCTGCCCGCGTACACAATTATGCCATGCGAACGGATTATAAATCAGTGTCTCGGTATCTCCTGAACCAGAAACCCGCCGGAAGTGGCGCTAGGATCTAAGCGCTGGAACGATTCCACGCGTTGAACTCGTGCCCATCTCTTTGCATTCGAATCGAGGTCTCCTCTGGCACCGCTGCGCTACGCATTGCGATAAAAGTCTCTTGTTGCATTGAACGTCGTGTCGCGTTGCCAAAATCCTGCTCCCTGGCTCTCGCGTAATTCGAAATGCGAATTGCGCGAGCACCGTTCGTAATTACGTTCGATTCCCATTTCGGTTTATTATGCGATGATTACGGTAGACTATAGAACGACGCGATCTCTTATCAAAGTTATCAGCCAGCTCGCAGCGGTTCGGGAACGAACGGGGGCATTAACGAAACACGTGTAATTTTATACACAACTGGCTGATAAGCGCGAAGGTAACGCCGGCCAAATTATACGGTAACTTCTAATTACTTTAGAGTCTCGCTTACTTAGAGAAGACGCGTTATTAAGATAATTCTCGTGCTCACCTGGAGGCAACCGCAGAAGGACTTCTTCACTCGCGATGGCATCGTCTGGCAGCGTCCCACGAATTCCTTCAGGGGCTGTGGACTCTTTACAGGACAGGTCGGAATCCTCTGTAAATTAAAAGATACGAAAATTACTCATTACGCCACACTTTCCTCCGCGAACGAATTACACGTTTAAACTCGAAATAAAATGCTTCTAATTCCGCGCGCGCGCGCGCGCCATCCTGTGTATTAGAAAATGACAAGGAGGAAATTTACATCTCGAAACGTTTTCCGCCTTCATTAACTAAGATTTGTTAACGCAGTCTTCTGCAATGCTTAAACGATTTTCTTGAGCAGCGTTGATGCTGTTCTTGTTTCCTTTAATATTAGAAATATATAAATATGTGTACTAAATAACGTACAACCCCGGCAATATATAAGTATCCAGACACTACTGGTTTTGCACCCGGAATTTAATCCTTTAGCTGATCATGTTCGACTTACTTCAAACGGAAGCCAACGCTTTGGGAAACAAACTCAAACAAAATCAATCGCTGGCAATTTAAATTCAGTTTGGACTGTGTTCCCAGAGACAATCGAAAGATATCTTAGAAGAAGTTAGAACTATCTTAGAATGTTCTTTGAAAAATGAATGAGAGGAACAGGGAACATAATGAAAAAAGAAACAACTTGGAACAAATGATAAGAATCTTGGAACGTTCATTGAGGAAGATTTTGTGAGAGGAACATGAGGAATAGTCAGAAAGAATCTTGGAACAAGCTAGGTCGATCCTAAAACGTTCATTAAGGCAGGTCTCGTGAAAGGAACATGAGAAATAGTGAAAAAGGTTCTTGGAACAAGTTGGAACTATTTTAAAATGTTCATCGAGAAAGGTCTGATGAGAGGAATTTAAAAAATAATGCAATATCTTTCTGGAACTATATTTGAATTATTTTAGAACATATTTATCGAGAAAGAACAAGATTAGAACGTTCATTGAGAATAATCCCGCGAGAAGCATCCAACATAAATATATTTAATAATAAATAATATTCTGCACTTTCTGCGCTAACGAGGAACCTTTCTAATATACAGGGTGGACCATAATTATGTTAATAGCAGGTAAAGGGTGATTCCTAAGGTCATTTGAAGTAACTTTTTCCTTTACACAAATTTTCTCCGAGGCGTCGTTCACGAGTTATTAACAAAAAAGGCAGTGACCAATGAGAGGCGAGATTCAGCTGGCGCGAGGCGGCCGAGCCAACGAGCGCGCGAAGCCCAGTTACGCTCATTGACTCGGCCGCCACGAGTCAGCTGATCTCGCCTCTCATTGGTCACTGTTCTTTCGTTAATAACTCGTGAACGACGCCTCGGAGAACATTTTTGTAAAGGAAAAAGTTACTTCAAATGACGTCAGGAATCGCCCCTATCCGGGTGTTAACATTATTATGGGACATCTTGTATCTAATAATAAATAATATTCCGCACTCGCTGCGATAACGAGAAACCTTTCTAATATATTCTTTCTTGATAAAGGTTAATAATATTCCGCACTCGCTGCGAGATAACGAGGAATCTTTCTAATACATTCTTCCTTGACAAAGGTTCAACTTTGAAATACACCCTGTTCAAAGGATCCACATTTTCCGATCCAAGCTTTCCAATATTTGATAGGTGTCCGCATACTAATGGTCGGGAGCGTATACTAAATAACAATATCTCCGAACTCGGAACATAAACGATCTTTAATCACGCAGCCTCGACCACGGTGTCGGAACTGTCGCTAGATATCTCGTCCTCCATCGCGAACGGCGCGAGCAATTCATTATGCGATTCTCGACCAGATATTGAGCGTTACATATAGATGTTTACGACATCATCAATTTTCTGAAAGGTTGCGCGGCTTCTGCTCGGATCAGACGCATCGATCAACGTCGTTTCGAAAACGACAGTCGAACGAATCGCGTAAGATATTGTCGATCAATGCATCATCTACTTTTACCCGCGCAACCGAAATTAATGGCTATGTCGTCTAAACGCTGATTAAGGTAGAAACATACTAATGTCGCGTCGCGCGAAGACATAGAAATGAGATCCGTCCACGCGTGACAATATATGAACAACGCGTCGTCATACTGATCTGTTTGTAACACAATTAGAATAATGGAAATAAGCCAGATTCACACTGTTCGAACGTCGCATGGTTTCACGTGATTTCACGCGACGCGACATTAGTATGTCTTCTACCTTTGACGGCGCACGCCGGAGGCACGCCGGACCGAAAGTTCTCCGAGTCGCGTTCCATCGGTGGAAACTCGAGTATTGAAGAGGAAAAAGCCGCGTCTCGGCTTTCACTGGTCTTTGTCCAATATGCGTTCTTACGTCGGAACGTTGTTAGGCGAGCAGGTAGGGTAAGTTGTTACGAAGCCGCGAATGTAACACAGCTTTTATGCGACGGTGTCGTAACGCAATGCCGTGCCGTGCCGCGCCGGCTGCCTGTCATCCGTTGCGAGTCAGTTCAATGTCCTTGTCTCGTGGAAGTCGAAAAGATGAGATGGATTACGTTAACCGGATATAAACGGATTAACTCCGAGCCAATAGATCCTCGAACGGAGAACGTTATCTTGGCATAACGTCCGAGGACTTTTGTTACCGAGGCTTCAAAAAGTTTGGGAACCGCTGTATACAGTAATTTTTGCCGAATTCGCGCTCAGATTGCGCACAAAAATGGACGATTTGAGAAGAGGAGATATGATTATTTGAGCCTTGTGGCTTGTTTTTAGGGTCGTCGATTGTCAAACAAATATAAAAACGGAACGCAAGGCTCGAATCAGAGCGTCAGTTAGGAAGACTTTACTGTACAGTAATTTCTCCCGAATTCGCGCTCAGATTGCGCACTAAAATGGACGATTTGAGAACAGGAGACACGATTATTCTAGCCTCGCGACTCGTTTTTATAGTTATCGATTGTCAAGCAAATAATTCGCGCTCAGATTGCGCACTAAAATGAACAATTCGGGAGAAGGAGACACGATTATTCGAGCCTTGTGGCTTGTTTTTATAGTTATCGATTGTCAAGCAAATAATTCGCGCTCAGATTGCGCACTAAAATGAACAATTCGGGAGAAGGAGACACGATTATTCGAGCCTTGTGGCTTGTTTTTATAGTTATCGATTGTCAAGCAAATAATTCGCGCTCAGATTGCGCACTAAAATGAACAATTCGGGAGAAGGAGACACGATTATTCGAGCCTTGTGGCTTGTTTTTATAGTTATCGATTGTCAAGCAAATAATTCGCGCTCAGATTGCGCACTAAAATGAACAATTCGGGAGAAGGAGACACGATTATTCGAGCCTTGTGGCTTGTTTTTATAGTTATCGATTGTCAAGCAAATAATTCGCGCTCAGATTGCGCACTAAAATGAACAATTCGGGAGAAGGAGACACGATTATTCGAGCCTTGTGGCTTGTTTTTATAGTTATCGATTGTCAAGCAAATATAAAAACGAGACGCAAGGCTCGAATCAGAGCGTCAGTTAGGAAGACTTTACTGTACAGTAATTTCTCCCGAATTCGCGCTCAGATTGCGCACTAAAATGAACAATTCGGGAGAAGGAGACACGATTATTCGAGCCTTGTGGCTTGTTTTTATGGTCGCCGATTGTCAAACAAATATGAAAACGAGACGCAAGGCTCGAATAATCGCATCTCCTCTTCCCAAATTTTCCATTCTTGTTTACAAGACAATTGGGGAGAATTTACTGTAGCTGTAAAACACTGACTTTGTTACATTTTCGCCTACTTTACAACCAGCAGATCAGCTACCTCGTCAACAGGCAATTGTCCCTGAAAATTTCATTTCTCTTCTGCCACCGAGGTTTCACAATAGTCCAATGAAAGGCTTCTGAATATACAGTGAGGAGCAAAAGTTGTCCGCACACCTATTAAAACTGTATAACTTTCTTAAAACCGGTCTAAACGATTTGAACTTTTTTTGTAAATGTTGCTCCTCACTGTAATTTCTTTCGATATAACTACGACTTTATTTTAACACGTCGAGTGCCACGTTGTTCACATACGGTTGACACTAATTTATTTGCTAATTCCCAAGATTTATTTCTGATATGATACATTCGAACAAACCGAATCTTACTGGAACGTTTTCGATATACGAAAGAGTTAAAATACTATAATAAATGGTAAATTTCCACATACTAACTTCAGTTCGATTAAACGAGTTACAATAATTTCTCCCTAATTCGAGATACGATTATTCGATTGGCAATAACTCGATTATTATTTGACAATAATTCGATCATTATTAAGCAATAACTCGATTATTATTAGGCAATAATTCGATACCGATTGGCATCAGCAACAAAAACGAGACGCAAGAATACTCGTACGCTCGAATAATCGTATCTCCTCTTCCCAAATCGTTCGTTTTTGCGCGCAATTTCAGCGCGAATTAGGGAAGAATTATTGTACAGAGCTTCTTACAACTGTTTCTTTAATTTTGAGCAATAGTATACGAAATAACTGTAGATCGCGCGTTAAGAAAAACCGTACAGGTGGGGTCGTGTTCGTTTCGGTAATTATTTTGTCAAATTTTGCGTGACCGCGGTTCGGACACCGCTTAGCAAACTTGGCTCTTTACGGGATACGTTTCCGCGCGAAGTTATGGCACGGAATGTTTTACGAGGTAAACCGTTCTTCCAGCGAAATTCTTAATTAAGGAATGGCCGTCTGGCGTTCATGGAATCCATGAATCTTCTTAACGTCGTCTGGACACATTTAGATCGCCGTTCGACCGAACTCTGTGTCAACGACGGTCAATGAAGCTTTTGCGAAACTCGTTTCATTCGGAGAACGCTGTTGTCTCTCCGCGAGATTATGGTGGTTCCACAGACTGCCCCCCTCGAAATATGATGTCGGACATTGCGAGCGTGAGTGTGCTTCGTGAAAAAAAGCGGGCCACCATTGTGCATTCCAAGAAATGTTTAATCGTACGCTGCGTGTACAACAATGACCCTAATTGCAAGAGTTCACGCTTCGTTACTGACAGCTCACTCATTACCATGGTACTATAATAACTCTTCTTCCAAGACAGTTTTTTTTTTATAA